CAGGGGGGGGACAGGCCAGGTGGCGGCCATCCTCGGCGGAACAAGGATGGGGACGGCAGAACCAGCGTGCACAACGCCCTCGCCGTGATCAGAACAGCCACACAACCGGCACAACGGCGGCGCCTCAGTCCCGAGCCACAGGTGCCGAGGGCCCTGATATGGCGGGGACGGGACGGTTCCCCGCAGGTGCCGAGGGCCCTGACACGGGGGGCCGCACCCAGAAGGCCCGAGTGCCGGATGACTGGCAGCACACCGCAACGCCAAGGGACACTCCCAGGAAGCAGCCGATCCCACTTCCGGCGCCCAACATCATCAAGCAGGACCCGGTGGTTTTCCACAAGAGCTCGGTGGGGCTGAATGAAGGGGGCCAACGCCTTTCAGCTACCCCCCTGACAAGTCCAACGGAGCCGTCACCGGGATTGGACATCTTCCCGTGGATGGAGAACATCCCTGAGCGTCTGGTACAGCGGCTGAGATGGACACAGGGCACATCGCCCAAAGTTCCATCCAGTGGGCCCATCATTGTCCTGCTCTATGCAGGCAAGGAAGACCCAACTTCCTTGGACAGCTGTCTTCATGCCAACTACCCACACCTTTCCAGCATGGTGGTGGCGGTAGACATCCTACGGTCTGGACCAAAAGGGGACCACGATATGCTCCAACCCGAGCTGTATGGAGCTCTTTGCACGGCAGCAAAGCAGGGCCGAGTGGTCTTCATTGGAGGAGGACCCAACTGCAGGACATGGTCCATCCTGCGCCACATACCAAAACCGGGGGCTCCCACCCCGGTGCGAGGGCGCACTCCAGAGACACTTTGGGGCCTTCCACACCTGGACCAGGCCGCCCAGACTCAACTTGATGATGACAGCATCCTCATTCTGAGACAGATGTACATCACCAGCCTGGCAAGGGCCTCACGAGCGGCGGTTTCTCTGCCAGGGCCCAGGTCCTTCCTGGAACACCCGGAGGACCCAGTGGTGAGCAGCTCGCTGCCCAAAGCCAAGGAATGCTCATCCTTCTGGATCACAGAGGAGGGGCAGCTTTGGATGGAGGAGAACTCCTTGACAGCAATCTCCTTCGACCAGTGCCGCCTGGGCCAGCTGGTCAAGAAGGCCACTACGCTGGCCACGGATCTCCCGATCCAGGACTGGGATCAAATGCGGTGCACGCATCAGTCACATGTGGGCACCAACGAGTCCTCGACTCTTAGCAGATACCCTTGGGATATGATGGCAGGCCTGGCCAAAGCCATCGCTGTGTCACTCGCAGCGCCGGGGCACATCCGGATCCCCTCACAATTTCCGGGAAACCCCAAGGAACCACCTAAGGGGCGGGGGTCGGACCCCCCGGAAGGCCATTCCCCCCGGGGAAAACGGGGGCCCAGTCAAGGAGGCGGTCCCTCCTCATCACACCAGGGCTCAAAGCCCGGAGGCAAGAACGCCCCGAAGCCCCGCCTGCACGGGCAGTTCCACCCTGAGGCAGACACCGTAAGCCCTCGTGGAACAATGAACCCAGACTTCCCATCTCCCATGCCCCCGATGGCCGGAGATGCGGAACAACTGGGGAAGGAGGGACAGGGGGACCAGGTCCTGGACCGCCCCGAATGCCTGCCCGCTTTCAGGGTCCCACACCTCACTGACCGGGTGGCGATTGTCCAATTGGGTTTCCGCTCACGCCCCCTGAGGGATGGGGGGGGAAAACCTTCCCCAGGGAGGCTCAACCCCCCTTTTCGGAGAATTTCCGCATTGGCTACTTTGGGCACCCTGATCATGACCCTTACCCGGCCCTGGATTGACAAGGTCCGAATGTCCCTGGCATCAGGTGCCACCACACACCCCTTCCAGGATGCCGAGGGCCCTGATAGGGGCAGGCGGATGATGGAGACCTCTGGCGGCCTGGACGTCTCTCCGCAGTCAACACTTTCCAGGTGCCGAGGGCCCTGATAGGAGGGCCCCGTTCCCCCCAACCAACGCCCTGGGGGGAGCAGGGGGGAACCCCTGACGTGGCAGCCGCCGACACAGGGGGAAACCTTCATCATCCTCAAGGCGGATGTCACCAAGGCCCACAGGCGCATAAAAGTGCTCCAGAAAGACTGGAAATACCAGGTGGCCTGCATCCAGAACCGGTGGTGGGTCAATAGAGTGGGCACGTACGGCATGGCCTCGGCACAACTGTACTGGGGAAGAAAGGCATCCTTGGTGCTCAGACTCTTGTACTACATCTTCCCTCAGGTGGACTGGCACTTAGTTTTTGTGGACGACTACTGCTGGGTCCTCAGATGCAGCAGGGCGGACTGGGACGCCACAGCCATCCTGGCCACTCTTCTGGCGCTGGGAGTCCCGCTTTCTTGGAAGAAGACGGCGCTCTCCCCGGTCAATACCTGGTTGGGATTCGTGGTGGACCCAATCACGCCCTGTGTGCTGCTGGCTCCAGTGAGGTGGAACAAGCCCTGGGCCGGATTCAATGGGCTACTTCGGCGTGTCCGTTGACGAAACCTTTCCTCCAGCCCTTTTGGAGCTGGAAGAAGGCCTGCACCACTTCGGGCAGGCCACCGAAGCTGGTTCGTGCTCTGGCCATCCTTCTGGGGAAGCTCTTCAACCAGAGGTTCCCACTGGCATCTCCATTTGCTCCCACACTTCCATGGACGGGGGCATCTGATGCGGGAGCTGGCAAACAGGCGGACCATGCATGGGTTGGTGGTTGGTGCTCGGACGTGCCCAACCCCGACAAGTCCCGAGTGAAGTGGTTCCAACACAGAATCACACCGGAGGGCGAGCCGTGGGCCTTCACTACTGGGGACCCGCAGCGGGCGATAGCGGCCTTGGAGCTCTTCGGCCTCCTCCTTTTGGTGAGGGCTGTTCTGCTTTGTGCAGCCGGCTCGGCTTCTCACACTAGGATTCTGGTTGCTAGTGATAACCAGGGAAACGTTTTCTCCCTGCTTAACGATTCCACTCGCAGGATGCCCAATGCGGCCATCCTCATGGAAATTGTGTTAACACTGCATGACCACCAGGTCATGTTAGGACCGTCGCATGTGAAGCGCGACTTTAACACATGGGCGGATGAACTTACTCATCCGGACCCGCAATTTCCGACTGAGAACCGGGTCTTCCCCTCAGTCGAAAGCGAATTGATCAAGCTGATCTTCGCTACTTTCCTTCCTCACCCATGATGCCGGGAGGGCATCCGGTGAGGTGGGAGGATTCCTCCCTCGCTGTGGGAGTGGCATCAATTCTACTCCCATCAGCTGCTGAGGGGAGCTGCCCAGTGGAGCTGGGCAATCCTCCCATTTTGGCACTAATCCTTATGCGGCGTAAAGGATGCACCGTTTCGCGATTAAGGTACCAGTAGCACCAATGTGGTGCTTTGAAGAGTCTAGCGGTAAACAAAAAGCTTGGACTTTTTCTGACCAGTCCACTCAGGAAGTGGGTAGACCACTTTGAGGGGTTGAAGAAGTTTGTGAAGTGCTGAACAACTGCAGCTGTGAAAGAAACGGTTCAGAACGAAAAGGGGACATGGTTCATTCTTCGACTGCTGTTCCGTTGTTCAGAGCCCGGAATTGGGGATATTCTCGTTCTAACCACAAAAGGATGGACAGCTGCTTTCGATTGAAGCACCTCCTCTCATAGCGGATCCGATCTGTACGAGCAAGCCAAGCAATGTGCAGAAGGCCTCCTTAAGGGCACCATATTTTCAGGGACGCCCCCAAATGCGCGTGGGGGCTGCGGGGGGGGACGCGCTTGGTAGAGTTCCTCCTAGGGGTCGGTGAATCATTCAAGCCTGAATGTCGCGCATTCTTTTGAGGTCGACCAAAAGCTGGCTGAAGGTCGCACCAAAGAGCAACCGAGAAACGATTCGCAATAAGCAGGGACTGGTCCACGCCAGTGCGGCCCTATTCTCCTTTCTGCGGTCGTTCTATGCCTTGCTAAGCCAAGAGAAAGTCGCGAGCGCATTTCTTGAGGCTTTGTACAGGCCGTGTCAAAAGCTTCGGTTTTCGAAAAATCAGGTTGTCTTAGACAAAGAAACCTGACAGGCATCCGTTTTGCGTTCTCAAACAGAAGGATGGATCCGAAGTCCATGATCAGGATCAGGTTCCTTCTGAGCCCCGTCTTGGCGTTGAGGTCCATTGGTTGTCTCCCTCGAAAGTGCGTGGTCTTTTTTTTTGAATGCCCTGAATATGAAAAATGTTCAGGTGGCAGCCATACCCCTAGGGAGCTGGAACCAGGGACGGATTTATGATTTGCAAGTATTTAGAGCAGGGAGCCGATTGAAAGAGGCCGCTACACCGGTGAATACCCGTGGATATGTCAAAGTGAGATTTATCCTAGAGAGCTCCATTCAAGAACTCAATCCTCAGCGGTTTCCTAATGTGTGTTATTGCAAAGTCCTATGCTTTGAAATAAGCCATTCGAAGCCTACACTAAACCAGCGATTCGCCCCACTGATCAAACTTTTCAGTCGTGTTCGGGGCCCTTTGCCCTCAGTCTCTTTCCGGACCTGCACAGAAGTGCAGCAAAGCCGGGATCTCTTTTTAGGGGAGCTGGTTTATTGGGGAGAGGCCTTCAATCGTGGTTCCCTGAATTTTGTTTGTTCCTTTCACCCCAGAAACGGGTACCCTCGAAAAAGAGAGACACCCATATGATCAGCATTTCGTTGTTTTTTTTGACGGGGATCCCTAGGAACAGTTGGCCTCATTATTGGAGAGGAGTGGCGGTTGGGGAAAAACCGGGCTCGAACTTCCACGACTTTTGGGCATTGGGTTGATTTTGATTGGGGAGTGTCCACAGATTTAGCACCATAGGTGTCCTTTTTGGTTGTTTTGGCAGAAAAATAGATGGCGATTCCTGGTTTACCTGGTGGTTTAATCAATCATCTACCAGGGAAACCCATCTATTTCCCCTAAACGGACACCTATGTTCATCACGGTTGGAGCGGAACGCCTCCTCAGACCTCGTCTTGGCTAGGCCTAAACCGCTTCTCGTTTCCGGGCGCGCCGTCAGGAGGTGAGCAGCCAGAAGGGAGACGCGCCGAAGGAGCGATCCGGTGCGATTCTTTTTTGGAAAGCCGGGGACTCACCCAAAAGGTGTTGCTGGACTCTATAATAGGGAAGACCCTCTGACTCTTAGTGCCTAAGCAAGTTGGATTTGTTGTGGCCGATTCACTCAGGGAGTGAGGGAAGGTACAGCCAGGGAAGACAAGGAGGGATAACCTCGTTTTGCTCATATGATCACGCCACAATTGGGTTTTAACGCACCCCACAACCCCACAAAATCTATGCCCAAGGAAGACGAGGGAAGTCCAGTTGGAGTCCCCTGTCTTTTGGTTGTTTCCATGTGTGTGGGTCCAAAACCCACAAGAAGCAAATGTAAAAGGTATCCCTGGAAAAACTGGGAAACACTCAAGGGAAATCCTCGGGAATCACTACCCCTTGGCTCAAAATGTGACAGGAGTAGCGGCTTGATCAGAAATCCATGGAAGGGTCAACAAACTCAGTTGTTCAGTGGCTCCCTTTTTCCCATTTTTTTTGGTGGCTGCCCCACTAAACTGGTCTTCCCAAAAAAGGGTTCCTTTTTTTTCAGGGTCACTGAACAACTGAGCAAATGCTTCCGGACAAGGGAAGCGAACGGACCCAACCATTCCAACCCCCCGAAGGTACGGGCTTACTAGGTTTGATTTTATGGCTGTCCAGTTCATTTTTCTAGGCGGCGACTCATACTTTCTGTATTTGGTATGTGTTGTTTGATAGTTTGATAGTTTGATAAGTTTTGTAGTTGGGTTTTCAGTTCTGTAAACAACGCTCGGGGCCAATCTCCAGCTTGTTTGTACTGCTTTTCCAATTTCGAGAGTCGTTTCTGCAAGACCAACGCATTTCCGGTAGGTTGAGAGGGTTCCAAGGTTTGAGCGGCGAGCTAGGGGCTCTTTCTGGGTGGCATCCTCGAACTGAAAACATTCAGCTAAATCATTGAGCACAGCACCAAAGAAAGGTGAGAAGGCACGCTCAAAATGCAAACGCATTGACTTGCAGGTTTTTCAGCAGGTCATCCCTTGTGAGATGATTTGAGGGGTCATCTTCCTGTTCATTTCCACAACCCTTTGAACAAGTTGCTGCTGAGCATCACCAAGCAAAGGGGCCTATCTTTCAGCATTCTGGGGAAAGGGTCGCATCTGGGAGGACCCCTTTCATGGCATGGCAATGGACCCAATGACAAAATGTCCCAAGTTGGCCTTCACAGGATCGGAGATTCTTCCCAGCAAACATTCCTGGGTGTTTCTCCAAGTTGGGGACTCTTTTTCCAGGCAGGGTGTCTTTTGTTTGGTGTCCCTTCAAAACTATCCATTCAGAGGCGACCGGTTTTCCGATTTTGGGAACCGCCCATAGTTGTTTTGGTTGGCTTCCATGTCAACCTGCCGCGTTTTTGTTGTTTTTTCTCGGATGTAGTTGGGCAAATAATTCGGGCTCATTTGGGGCTTAAACGAGCTCACCAGTGTTTCTGTTTCCTTTAAAAACAAAGAAGAAGAAGAAACAAAAAACACGGGCCCCAGCTCCGCCTTGGCTCGCTCCTGCCGAGCGAGTGAGTGCCGCCACCAGGCGGAGGTACCCGTAGAACAGAAGATCCAAGAGGCTCCAGTGCAGGCGGAGGACTGCCGGTCTGACCATCTTCCCTTTGCCAACCACCCAACCACCCGGCTCCAAACCACAAACTTCCTCACAAAGGCAGGCCTACCTCGATCTGAAGGGTGACTCTGCGGGTTTTGTTGAGACATATGAGTAACTGCCGTGAAGAGGTGTTTTAATTATTATTTCGCCCTGTTGGTTTTATAATGGGAATCTAGCACTATGGACATATTTTACTCTTTTTTTTATAATGTTATTTTAATTTTCCAGGGGGCTCAAGCAAATGTAAGATTCGGTTTAACGTTTGACCTGCCATTTGCTGAAATGAATGTGCTTCTTTCCCCCTGTTGGAATTATAATGGGGGTTTGTGCAAATGGAAGTTGACCTTCCGTTTGCTTCAGAACGGGAACCCTGCCTTTTTCACATTTTGAAAGTCTCAAAAAGGGTTCCCTTTTTCTAGCAGGGTCACCGAACTTCCGTTAGCTTGAGAATGTGTTGTTTTCTCCAACGGCTGGAATCCATGGGGTCGATAGGCCCAGATAGGCTCTTGGGCCAGCTTTGAGGTTTGAATGATGCACCTCATAGCTTCGTTGATGTAAATATGATTGTTAAGGATATCAGCCAGATGTTTCATTTTAGAATTGAAAGAAAACAGTTTGCTGTTCAGTGGCACCCGTGTTTGTATTTTGTTAGCTGCCCCCCAAAAGGGCTCCCTTTTCTATACCAGGGTCACTGAACTCCCGTTTGCTTAATAGGTTATACTGTTCCCCCGGTGGCTTGAAAGGGAATCTGGCACTGGGCATATGGTATTGTTTGCCAGGGAACTTATGCAGATCGAAGCTGACATGGAGGCAGGAGCTTGCAACCCTCCAGAGGACTCTACTTGGGTCGTTGGCCGGTAGTAAAAATTGCTGGTACTTGGTAAGGTTACAGCCTACTTCTATGTTACACCCCGCTCGTAAGTCACTTCAAGTGGAGTTCACCCTGTTATACCCAAGTGGCTAGCCACTTACTTACTTGGCCGAAGATCCAACCAAGTACTAGTTACTAGCTTGAGGAACTCATTTCCCTGACCAGGACACTGCCCCTTTTGTACGGCCCGGGCCAATCCATGGTAATGTATGGAAGGCGGCTTCTTTTCTTTACCTCCCCTCCAAGGGGCCCTCCCCCACAAATGTCTCTGTGGAGGTGCAGTGGACACCATGAATGATGTATGGAGAGGGAGGGTCGACCTTTGTGGACAAGACAACCGCAAAGGCATCCCCAAAGAAGGCCAAGCAAATCTCCCCCAAAGGCAACCGCAAAAACATCCCCCAAGATATCACTCAAAACAACCCCAAAGACATTCCCCAAGACACCTTTGTCGCCGCGTTTGTTCTTGGTCTTGCTGGTGCGCAGCAGAGAATGATGGAATGAACCTAGGGATTCCCGAAGAAACCATCAGGGATGGTTTATTTCCCATTCCCTGCCTATGGCACCAGCAAGTTGTTGCGGGAGTCTCAGACGCCAGGAGGTGCCCATCGAACAGAAGGTGCAGGAAGCGCCTGCAGAGGCTGCGATTGCCCTCATTCCCCGAGTTCCTGGACTTGAGGATGTCAACCCTTAGATGGTTTGGATTGGTGGTTTCGTTCCGAGCTCCTGGACTGTAGGACGTCAACCCTTATAGATGGCTTGGATTGGTGGTTTGGAGAGTTTTGGAGGGTAAATGCAAGAAACCACTCCTGGTTGGGCTCGCCGCCTTGGGCTCTCCACGCGGGGATTCAACTTCATTTCCAGCATGACTACTCGCATTTTCCATTTTATCCTCTAAGTGGGTCAAGTGTTGGTAAATATTGCCTACATGGATTGTGTATTGGGTGTGTTTGAGGGTACACTTGTTGGGTTGGCTTGAAGGGAAGTCAAAAGGACGGCCAGTTGGCATCCCCAGCTATAGCCATGCGCCCAGAGGATTCCAACGCCTCCGAGTGGATTCCAACGGCTTTGAATGCCGAAACCTGGCCTTCCAAGCCAGCCCTGGAGTTTATGGTGGGATGTTCTTGTTGTTCCTTAGCTTTTCACAAAAATCGCCCATGTTTCCCCAGGAGCACGCGGGAAATTTTGCGCCCCCGCCCTGTTCGGTGTTCTGTGAAACGAGACACCAGAGGCAAAACCACCAGAGGTCCCGCTGTTTTGGAGGCAGACTCATTGGGTTTTAACCAACGCAGGTTTGCAAGGAAAAGCTGCGTTTCCATCATAAACGCGATGGGGCAAAGACATCCCAACGGGCAGGTAGCCGTTGCCCGCTTGTCAGGCATGTCTATGTTTATGTTGCCTGACAGGGAACTGGCATGGCAAGCCTCAAAAAAACGGTCTTCGTCTTCAGTTCCAGCACCCCGAAATGGGCACCGAGCCCAAAACAAAGACGCAGCGACAAATTTGCGTTGGCCGCCTTTGAAGCACACTAAACAGGATTTGTTTTTGTGTCAGAAGACCCCTGTAAGTAGGTTCAGTGGTGCTGGTCATCGTAAGGATTGACCTGTTCAAGCGTCTTTGAACGTGGTCACTGCCTTTTCCAGCTGATTCACCCTCCCACCAAACATGGACCCCGGATGGGCTAGGGTCTACATGAATGTAGACCCTAGAGTAATAGCATTTTGTAGCGCAAGATCCATCTTTGGCAGACCTGGCACTCTGATGGGTACCGGGCTCATGCCAAAGCGTTTTTTTTCTGTGCATTCAATCGGGCTTCTACGTGGTATTTGGTACTGGGGCAGGCCGTCCCCGCTGTGTCACCGGGCCTGTACCGCTTGCAGTCCGAGAATTACTGGCCACTGTACATTGTCTTTAAACTCTCTGCCAGGGGAAACCGCCTTCTTGGATCTGATCTTTCGTTTGTTGCGAACCTCGTTTTTTGGCGCAGAAGGCGGTCAAGGAGGAGGCGCCCAAGGAGGAGGCGCCCAAGGAGGCCCGATGGCACATTCGTTTGACCATCCCAGTGCCCTGTTTGCCCTATGCTGCGATCTCAGGGAATGCGAAAGTGGAATGAAGCGTTTTGGGGATTCCCGAAGAAAGGACACCACATCGGGGATGGCTTGAACAAAAAGGGGTCAGTCCATTTCTCTTGAGCACCAGCAAGTGAAGTTCTAGCCGCAACCTCCATGTTCATTCTTTTCAGGGATCCTTTTCTTCAATCAATGGGTGGTGTCTAAAAAGAACAATGAGCAAAGATAATGGGGAGTCAATCCTCAGACAAGTTGGAGGGGGGTGGGTTCATATAAAATCAACCAACCAAGAATGCGGAAGCCGTTCCCATGGACATCCAGTAGTTTGGGCAAAGCTGTCAACAGTCTCCTCTTTGGTAGGGCCGCCTGTCAATGTTTTGAGGGCGGTTGCCTTTGTCAAGATGTTGCCCTGCAAGAAGGGGCTTCGGGGAAACGGGGGGCTGGGAGTTAGAAGTTGCGGTTGGGACGCTGCGATGCGAACGTGAATTTAAGGAAGCCAATTGGGCAAAGAGTTCTTCCAGATTCCCCATTTATCATTTGGAGCCATTCACGGTTATTTGTTTGATCCCGACTCCCAGACAGAAAAAACAATGGTTGATTTAGATGATGACAATCCTTAGGTCAAAAATAGTGGTTATATGAACCCAAATATTGTTTTATTGGTGGCAACTGAGCCGCACACCAAAGGTTAGGACGATACTTTGACATGGAACGGCTAAAAGTCATGTCTCTGAAGCCAGTCATAGCCAGCGCAGCAAAACACGAAGGGGTCAGACTGCCAGACACAAACAGGTGCGTTGAACAGTTTGTTGCGCTTTTGATGCTTTTCAATAGTGTTTGGCTGGACGCCTCCAACCTGTTGATGCGAAGTGTGGCATGATAGAACCCCCCTGCTTGGATGTTAGTACTTTAACTTTCTGCCAACTCATGGGTTTTCCATTAACAGGGCTCTTTCAAAGATACATTTCGCCCATTTGAAACATGGCTTTGTCCACCAAAATAAAGGGAAGCCACCATTTACAAGGCAATGTTCAGGTGAATAATGTAAGGATCCCTGATTAAGCCACTGAAGGTTAAGCTTTTAGCACCTTTTGCTCAGGAGAACGCAACCCAGCAAGCAGCCAACTGCGGCAGCCAAGCACAGAATACGTCGAGATAATTCTCCTGGTGTTGAGGTCTGATTAATAAAGCCTTTCTGAGCCCCCCCTGCCCACCCAAACCAGTGAAGGGGGGGAAATAGAAGGAGCTCCAATCAGGTCACCCTGAAACAGTCGCTGTGGGTGTTGTTTTTACAGCTTCTCAATGTGATGTTTGCTTTGGCTGCCTTCACCCTGCCTTTAATTCATGCTTTTATCACAGCTTTGTCACTTTAATGTGCGAGCCGATTGTGCCGTTTTTTGGGATAGGTTTAGCTAGTTTCAGAGCTGAGATGCGAGCAGAGGCCAGCACCCCCCAGCATTGCTGGTAGAACATGTAGGTTGGGTGAATTATAGCGACCTCACACGACGGAATTCACCCCAACTGGTGGTTTATGTGGGGAATAGCCCCCCAACCACCATACTTCAGGAAGGTGAATTATAATTCACCCAGATGGAGTGCTTCTTCTGGCCCTTAGCGTTCCGAAGAATCGCTGCAACAGCTTGGCAGGTCCCGGCAGAGGCAGAGGCTGCAGCGGCGGAGGCTTCGCCCGAGCCAGCACCAGAGGCAGCAACGGAGGCAGCGGAGCCAGCGGAGCCAGCGGCAGAGGCTGCGCCAGCGGCAGAGGCAGAGGCAGCAGCGGAGGCACCAGCAGAGGCTGCTCCAGCGGCAGAGGCGCCAGCGGCAGAGGCGCCAGCGGCAGAGGCGCCAGCGGCAGAGGCAGCGGCGGAGGCATCCTAGGCAGGGAAACAGGGCTGAACTCCGTGTGGAGTGGGCATATGTTGGAGGTAAAGGCTGCCAAGCCGTGATTTGTGTGTACGTCTTGGATTTGCCAGGTTGACAGTTGCCTGGCAGGAAAAGTGGGGTTACAACTCAAATAGCCCCCAAACTGGCCGTCCTGAAAGTGTTTTCCTTTGCCGAGCCGCAAAAAAAATGGCACAACCGGAGAAGGCACAACCGCAGAAGGCGCACCCCAGAGGGAGGTAGCGGGAGCAGGGAGTACTTGAGCAGCCCCCAACCTCCGGAACAACCAAAAGGACGTGTGTTTTTTGGTAGGCGGTCTGGTTCCAACCTGATTTTTCATGGGATATGGAAGGCCTGTATAAGCGTGTAATGTGTTGGAACCAAATTCAGCTCGGGCCAATCGGGCACCCACTTGGAAATGAGACCATGCGCGATTCCACCTCTCTGACCAGCCCCATTGTTGCATGGTTAACTTTTCAGGTTCCACTCATGGTTAGCTCCAGGGTTGTGGAATCAAGGGGTTTATTCCCACTTCTGTGATACCTTCGGGAATCTCCCCCTGTATATGGGGTCTTCGTCTTTGGGAAGCCCTTTTTGTTGTATCACAGAAGTGGATTCCATTTCCCACAACCCTGGTTAACTCACAAACCATGTGTTTGGGGCAAGGACCCCTTCAGGTATGGCCCCTTTGACCAGCAATCCTCGCTCTTTGCGTTCCCGGACTTGCGTCACTTTTTGGGTTTGAATCAATAACAAAAAAGATAGATTTTGCAAACGCACTGTCAGAAAGTGATCAGGTACCCTTTCATTGGTGGTGATGGGTTTTGTGGCTTGAACTCCAGTTCCTAAGCCAAGTGGGCAAGGCACCCCCCTAACGTCCAAACCACTGGGCACCAAACGAAGCCCTGATGACGCTTTGGCTCCTAATGGGGGTTGATCAATATTCCCCTCGGCCCTCATGACCCTGGGGAACGTTTCCCATTCAACGGAATTTAGTGATTAAAGTATCATCTTTCTAGTGGTTTCCCAACCAGTGGTCCCCTGTTTCACACCTTCTGATCAACCCCTATGTTTTTGCAGCGAGTCGATGCTGAAGAGGTGGCCCGGTGGCCTCCGTTTGGGGTAAAGGGGTGGGGGAAATTCTGCATGAACCCACACCCTATATGTTTGGTTGGTTTTCAGATGCAGCAGAGCCTTTCGAACCCATCGAGACCAGACCAAAGTTCTCGAAGCACTACATCACTACATCCAAGTATATGTGTAAGCCAAGGGGAGAACGATAAACACTGAAGCTGCCAAACGAGCTGCAAACAATGTCTGAAGGACAATTACCAGTCGTCTTACTATATTGGGAAGCCCTTCAAAATTGGTCAGTGCACATGCATTCCCGTCGAAATGAAGACCATACTTGCGTAAAAGTGATGACACTTTGGTGTTTGCTCAAAAGCCAAGGCCGCGCGCAGCGCCGGCGATGTGCTGCTAGAGTAGTTGGTGCTTCCTTGTTCAGGGCATTGTTTATTGTTTTTTCTTGGAGGGGGTTTGCAAAACAAGGGGGAAACCCTTGCTTGGTTGCACTTAGAAAGGACGCCAAACAACAGCTGCCCATACTAGGTCCCCCAGTAGTACCCTTTTACCCTTTTTTGGCGGAGGGTTCCCCTACTAAAACAGACTACAGAAAAAGGGTACCCATATTCTAACCCCTCCACTGGAGGACCTAGTACCCGCATCTTGCGGGGTTCCCTTT